TCGATTTTTATGTGATACCCAGGGCCTTAAACATGCTTAGCGAGCACTCTACCATTGAGCCAGCTTCAGAATGCAACTTTTTAAACAAAATTTGTTTTTAGATGTTGATGTTATTATTCACTTATTTATATGCAGTGCTGAGAATTGAGCCCAGTGTCTCACACGTGCTAGGCGAGTGCTCTACCACTGAGCCCCAGCCCCAGCCTCTGAATTCAACTTTTGTCTATGGAAAAGACCCTCAATTTTCAAACCAAAGACCTCTATCCTTGGACATGTTTTATCTGAAGTTAAAATTTCCTCATCTGCTTTCATCTTTTGTGCAGTTCTTTTGACAATGTATATTAAAGCTGAAACAGAAAGAAAGCATTTAGAAAGAAATGGCAGGCTGGGGATGTAGCTCACTGGTAGAACACCTGCCTAGCATGCACAAGTCCCTGGGTGTGATCACTGGTACCACCAACAAAAATCAAATAGAAAGAAATGATTAAAAAAAAAACTTTCGGGGCTACAGTTTTGGCTCAGCAGTAGAGCATTTACCTAGCATGTATGAGGCACTGGGTTCAATATTCAGATCCACATAAAAATAAATAAATAAAATAAAGGTATTGTATCCACCTACAAATAAAAAATTAAAAAAACCCAATAACAACAAAAATCTTTTCTCCACCCACTTCTGCTTGCACCCACAGGAATGTACTTCTTGGCATCTTGTAAGAATATCCACTATTGCTAAGTGTGATGGCCCACACATGTGATCCCAGTGACTTGTGAGGCTGAAGCAGGAGGAGTGCAAGTTCAAGGTCAGCCTCAACAATTAGCAAGACTTGCAGCAAAAACAACAACAACAAAAACAACTGTCAGTGTAGCTCAGTGTCTCTGGATTCAATCTCCAGAACCATTTAAAAAAGAAAGAAAAGGAAAAGATACTCACATATTCTCATTAACTCAATGATGGAGTTTGCGATTGCAAAAGAAACTGAAGTTTCACATGATTCAGAAACCTTATAGGGATAAAGACACAATCCTCCCACTTGAGGGGTTTCTGTACTGTGCAGGGCAGTTCCCAGTGGATGAGATCCAGTGCCTGGCCTGCAAACCTCCTTTGAAGACATCACTACAGTCCTTGTCATCTGTCCAGTATCGCCTGCATCAGTGAGCTCCTCCCAGGAACTCCCAAGAGCTGCAGCCATCATGAAATGTGCTCACTGGTAGTCGCTCAGCTGCGGAGTGTGGTGCTGAGGAGGTGACTCTCCCTGGCCCTGGTGACCTATTTTTTCCTGGGAAAGGCAAGAGCCTTCCAAGTCCTCCCCTCTGAGGGTGCCCATCACTTGCTTCAGCCCATGTGGTGTCAGGAATGTTCCAAGTGCAGCTAATGAGCCAGCATCTTCAGACTCGTTCAGTCTGGACACTGCCCTCTGCACACACAGCTGGAGCACAGGGGTGGGACCCCAGCATGTCTCAGCTCAGAATGAGCTGCTGTGGGGAATCCTGGAGTGCGACTGGCCCTTTGCTTTCTCCCAGCCCACTCTCTGTTTCAAACACTTTTTACTATGGGAAATATGGGTGCACACTGAGGCACAAGAGTCCAACAGCGCCCTGCCCACTCCAGCTTGGATACTCAGCAGTGCAGAGGCCATCTTTACCTTCTCATTTATTTATTTACCCATCTACATGTGGCACTGGCAGCTGAACCCAGATTCTTGCACAAGATAGGCAAGTATTCTGACCCCGAGTTAAATCCCCACATTCCGGGGGTGGGGGGTAGACTCGGTCTCTGTCTCTCTCTCTCACTTTCTCCCTCATTATTTATTATTTTAAGACAGGGCTACCAAAGTTGCCCAGGCTACTGGCCTGGGACTTGAGATGCTCCTGCCTCATCCTCCTGAGCTGCTGGGATTACAAGCATTCGCCACCACATCTGGCTGAATCTGTCTTTACAGCCTTCTCTCGTGGAATTCCTCCTCCAAATCCTTGCTCTACCTTCTGAGTTCCTTTCTTTGCTTTCTATTCCAGCTTATCACTGCATTTCTTACTTAGCTATGACCAAATTAGTGCTGAGCCCTTCTGCTAAAATGTTCTGCTCAGCAGTGATGTTTTAAACCTCTCCACAGTCTCTTTTCTCCAGTTGCTCCTTTCCTGGACAATCCTTGCCTCCTCCTGGAAGACTCCTCCTGAATCTTTCTGAGGGTCACTAGTTCCAAGTTTCCCAGTTGTAGAGGGGTGTAGTGGTGAATGCTGGTAATCCCAGTGACGGGAAGGCTGAGGCAGGAGGATCCCACATCCAGCACAGCCTTGGTGACTGAACTGTCTGAAACTTTGTTTAAAAGGGCTGGGGTGTGGCTGGGCATTAGAGCATCCCCAGGCTCTATCTCCAGTACAGAAAACAAAATAAGTAGTTTCCCAGTTGTCTGCTCTCCGTGGATTATCTGGGCTTTCTCTGTGGTCAGCTGACCTCCCTGCAACAGACACTCTGATGAAGGCCCGAGTTCTCCTGGAACATTCTCCATCCTCCTTGTTGGGCCGCCCAGGGCCAACTCAGCAGAAGCAGGGGTTTCCAATCCAGCGCAGTCCAAGAAAAACACTGGCCCTTGACCAGCTCTGGGGAGACCACAGGTGCCCTTGGATGATCCTTCCTGAGGAGTGTCCCTGCAACCTTGGAGAATGGTGCCACTCTGGGTCCCACTAACAATGGGATTCCCCGAGGGGCTTGGGCCACAGGCAGAGACTGAGTAACCAAGGTTCCCACCTGGGCATCTCATGCCTCCCTGACCACGCCTCAGTACAGCCCTGGTGACCAGAAGTTGTATCTTCCCTTGTGGCACTCCTTCAGGCCAGCAGTCTCAGGTCCACTCTGGGAGAATTCAGCCCTGTCCACTGGCCTCTGCTGGGGAACACATCTGGAGAGAGGCTCACGCTTGTGTCCTCACCCAGGAGCACACTGACTCTTCTGAGTTCTGTGGGACCCGGTGGGGACTCTCTGACCCAGGGGGTGTTGGTGCTGATGCCTGGCTGGCTGTCCATTCACAAGTGGGACTAGTACACTGCCCCCACTCCCACAGGAAGCAGAGGCCCTGGAGGCCCCGGGCAGTTGTGTGAGGCCACTGCAGGCAGCAGGCAGAGAAGGAGCTGGAGCCCTGTGCATGGTGACAGCCCAGCTCTGTGGTTGCAAAGGAGCAGCATCTTTAGCGGGAGGCGCCACACTGCTGTCTCCAGATCAGCCTGCCAGGAGGAGGTGCTAGTGGGCTTCTTGGGGGGCTCCTGGCTGAGGGCCATGTCCTTGTTCCTGGGGGAGTTTGTGGGTGGGGGAAAGAGGGCATCAGAGGAGACAGCCAGCGCTGGTGGGCTGCAGAAAGAAAGGGGGTGTTGGGGTTCACTGGCTGCAGCACCACATCAAGACGTGTGCGGGCTGACCAACTCCTGTAGGAGCCGAAGGCACTGTGGTCCCCAAGGATCCCTTGGTCCCAGGGAGCTCATCTGGGTGAAGGTGGTGGCTAGGGCTTCCAGCCTGCTGCCTCTCCCGCAGGGGGCGCCGGCAGGATCTGGAGCGGAGCTGCAGGGAGCAGAGGGGGCGCCAGGTTGCAGAAGAGGCCATGGGCGAGAGGAGCTGCCCACTTCTGCCGCCGCTGCTGCTGCTGGCGCTGCTGTGGCCCCCAGGACTGGAGAAGCAGGGTGAATTCGGGGGCGCTGCTGGCAGGGCGGGGCGACGGGGGCCGCGGGCATCGTGGAGGTCAGGGGCGCTCACCTCCTGGCCTCCACGCAGACTCGCAGGAAGAGAACACGCAGTCAGGTAAGGCGCCCCCGAAGAGCCCCCTGCGCGGTGCGCCGGCGTCGGGTGCAGAAGAAGGTGCGAGGACGCCTCATCTCTCCCTCTCCTCAGCCTCAGGTCCCATGAACACCCTGCTGCTGGGGAGGGGGTGGGCGCGTCCCCAGAGCGCCCCCCCCCCCAGCTCACAGCGTGTCTGCCCCAGGGCACTGACTGCTTCAGGAGGTGAGTCCCGGCATCCACAAGGGATGGCTACCTCTCTTCCTGCAGGGGGTGTGCCTTGCCTTCTTGCAGCCTCTTCTGAGCCCCAGGCTCTGCTGTGAACAGTCACACTACAGCCTTCTCTGCTGGTTCCCCTGGAGCCAAGGCTCTTCCAGTTCTCCCAGAGTGCTCTTCTACACTTCTATGCACCTCGAGGTGTATGGCACTTCTTTTTTTTTCCCCAACCCAAATGTACTATTGTCCATATCCACTTGTAAAGTATACAAGGCTGTCGCAGGCATTTAATGCCAACAGCTGAGGAGGAGGTTGAGGCAGGAGGATGGCGAGTTCAAAGTCAGCCTCTGCAGCTTAACCAGGCCCTAAGCAACTTAGCAAGACCCTGTCTCTAAATAAACTATAATGAAGTGCTGGGGATGGGGCTCAGTGCCCCTGGGTTCAATCCTAGGTACAAAAACAAAACAACAGCAATACAAAATATAGATACCAGAAGTGTAGGAGACATGGGCTGATGTGGGGCCAGTGCTGGTCACCACCCTCCCCTGTGGAGCTCTCCCCAGACCAGATGTGTGACTTCATCCTGCCTGAGGCCCAACACTGACCCCCACATCTGCTTAATCATTTATGACTGCACAACATCCCCAGAAGAACTGGGATGAATTTCCTTGTCCTTAAGACAGCTCTGGGAAGTGACAAGACCCCCTGGGAGTGTGTGGAGCCACTTTCTTGCTTCTCTGCCCACAGTGCTCTGGTCCTGCCTGTCTAGGCTCTGTGGCTTCTATAGTGGGCCTTGGGCCCATAAGAAGGACTTGCCATGGACACCAATGGTGTCCATAATGAGCAAGTAGTAGCAGCCCCACAGCATCACCCCAGCCCAGGTGTGCTCATATGGCCAGGCTCCCTTCCCTGGGCCCTGGAGGTTCTCTCTTCTCCCCTGCCAGGTTCTCTCATGCTTCCAGGTGGATAGTCCAGCTTGGTGAGCTGACTCTCTTTTCTTTCTGGAGCCTGCAGGCTCACGGAAACCGGTACAGAGTGAAGTGTCATGGTTTCTTTTCTTTTCCTTTTTAGTTCAGAGTGAAGGACATCATTGTGAACCCCCAGGATGGAGGAAAGTTCCATGACATCGCCCTGCTGAGGCTGGCCTCCTTGGTCACCTACAGCAAGTACATCCAGCCCGTCTGTGTCCTGTCTTCTACCTTCATGTTCCTGCACTGGTCCGACTGCTGGGTGACTGGTTGGGGAGTCATCCATGAGAATATGGGTAAGGTTGGGGACAGAGGGCTGGGCTGGGCACTATCCTCATTCCATTTAGTCACCAGGCCCAGTTGTCTCTCCTGGACCTGGCACCCGCTCAGCATTCTCTCCTCAGGGGCTGCCCTCCTCTTGCTCCCACTGCAAGGGCAGGAAGACAGGCTCTGTCCTCTTCCCTTGCAGACACTGTGTGGGCCAGAAAGCAGGGTTGCAAGGGGCGCCGCTTGGCATGTGCCTTTGCTAGCCAGCAGGGGTGGCAGGCTCAGGACAGCCTCCTGCCAAGGGCCTCGGCTGTTAACTTCCTTCCACTGTGATTTAGTTCACACACCCAAACTTATAGCCAGCAGTGGCAAAGCAGGCTGTTCAGAGATCTGTGGGGCGTTCCCAAAGCTGTGGGGCCATCCTGGCACCATCTACCTCAGAACAGCTCCATCTCCCAGGAGTCCCCGCCCTCCTTGGTCATTCCTCTC